GCTTGCTGACTTTAAACAGAATGAACGAGCTCTTTGTATAATTAGACTAACACTGAGTGACCAGCTGCTAGTCCATATTCGTGGAGAAGAGTCTGCTGCTAGGTGTTGGGAGAATTTGAAGAGGATTTATGTTCGTGACAGTGTAGGTGCACACATACATCTTACACGTAAACTGTTTAGAGCACGTCTTCTGAAAGGTGGAGATATGTTAGCTCATTTGAACTTCATGAAAATAACTTTTCAAGAGCTACATGAAAAATAACTGATATTTTCAGAGCTGCATCAAGTTTACATCATTCTTTCCTCATTGGATGAAAGTTATGATGATTATGCATCTTCACTGGAAGTCCTGCCCAGAGATAAACTGACATTAACTGACATAACTGGAAGATTGCTAGAAGAAGCAAGAAGATGGCTGGATAGAGACCAACTGAGAAAGAAACAACCACAAGATTTGTCTTCAACTGCCTATATTGTTAGGAAATGTTTTTCTTGTGGGGATAGGGGACATATAGCTAAATTCTGTAAGAAAGGAAAACAACAGAATACTGGTAATCACCAGAAGGCTAAGAAGAATGTTAGTTTAACTATGTCTAGCAATTCAACTGTAAACCATGATTTGTGGGTTGTTGATAGTGGAGCATCGCAATGCATTACTAAAGATAGAAAAAGGTTTGTAAAGATGTCCATGAGTAAACATGCATCATTGGCAAATGGATGGAAGATTAACGCATCAGGTGAAGGTACTGCATATTGTTCTTGTATAAACGAGCATTCAACTATGTTATATGTACCTAAACTGAAATTTAATTTGTTATCAGTAAGGGCTTTAGTTAATCTTGGTTATGTAGTAGCCTTTAGGGGAGATAACTGTGTAATAGAGAAAGAGGGTAAAAGTGTTACTGCTACATTAGAGAATGATTTATATGTGATACATGATGACCAGTTGAAGATGGCTAACTCAGTTTATAACAATGTTAAGCCACATGATGAATGTATACATTTACTGCATAGACGTCTAGGGCACATTAATTTCAAAATGCTCAAACAAACTGTTGAATTGTCAGAGGGAGTAAAATTGAAACCCTGTAGCAAGTATTTAAACTGTAATGCTTGTAGCCAAGAGAAAAATAAGGTTACTCCAGCAAACACATGATTTATGAAGAACATGGAAGTGATACAAATCCAGCTCGTGCCTGAAAACACCTTTATGGCTCTCAGCATAAGAAACATTTTATAAATGAGAAATACTAGGCAAACACAAATGGCTAAGTTATCAGGAGATACTAGAATTCTGTCAAGGGCATTATAAAATTAAATCAAGAGAACTGGTGACAGAAGGGCAAAGTTGCCAACACTGCATGTTATGTACATATCACTTTTGTAATATACTATTCTTTGGCCTGTAGTGTTCCAGTAGTTTCAAGAAGCAACCATGTCTTCACTATTTCAAGAAAAACACGTAAAATTATTACCAATACCATATAAAAAATAAATGACAATGGAAGGAATTTTGACCATTTACCTTAGAACATTTCATAGCATAAACTCTTAAGCACACATTTAGGAAGTACAGTGGGTATCAAACTCTCTTCTCCAGTAGAACTGTATATAAAAAATAAACATTTGTTGCCGTTTACTAGGTGTGGTTAAGCATGTTGATACTGTGCTTTCATACTTTCACCTTTGCAAAAGGCATTCAGGTTGTCACTGAAAAAGATCAGACTTGAACTAAAGTTAGCAGCGAATATAATTGCACAAATAACTACCCGATGCCAATAAATATAAAAACTCTTATTTCCATTGATGGCCAATGTATCCCCCCCACTCCCTCCTGCAGTCAAAGCTGCATGTGGTAAGCAAGCTATCCTGGTAATTCAAGAGTAGAGTTCTACATTCCCACTGTAATCTGAATGACAACCTAATGCTGTTATTTTAAAAAGTACTTATCCTCAAGTTTCCCACTCTTTATGCTTTATGACAAGTTGCATCTCTCCCAAGACGTTACTGACATTTCAATAATCTTGAATTTCCAAAGTATCACTCAGTGCGAATATGTCAAATATAAGCCACAATGCTACTATTGATAGCTAATTAAAAAATGAGGGTTTCTAGTACTGGGGAACATAGAAGTTTCAGTTAGTTAGTGGTAGGTTTAGTTGAGGTTAATTAGTAGTGCCATCCATAATACTCTTTTTCCATAAATATGTTTTGTTACACCTAACAAACACAATGTTAAAAAGTTGTATTTATGTAGTTAACTTACTGTGGGAAGCACCCCCAGCACCTCACTCCTAGAATAATGAAATATTTTGGGGAACATTAAAAAAGGCAGATTATATTTCTCTAAATGAGAAATGGAGAAACATGTTTTTTATAGGCAGGAAGCAGACTCAATCTTTCTTAATAGACCCCAGCAGATATTTTGTGCCCATTAAGGAAGACTGGGCCAGTCTATCTACAAAACAAAAAAATCTTCAGCTCCAGGACGATGGAATTAATAGGATATGATCCTTCGGGACATAGTAAGATTATAATAGAGCTCACTACATTGCACAATCACCTAAGGGCATTTCAAACATTGCACAACCCCAACAGCATCTCTGAAATTTATAAAAATCCATGTAATTAAACCAATTGGTCAGCTGCACCAGAACCATAAACCCATGTGGTCCTTTCTACCATTAAACCATCTTTCCAATCAGCTTCCATGTTTTCCAGTGTCTTTCTCCCAGCTTGGAACTGAACCAGATGGATATTTCTTCCAACAATTACCAAGTGCATCTAAATTAAAGTAACCAAAATTCCTTTACAATCCCCAAGGCATGTCACAACTTTTGAGTACCACTAATGTTTGAAAATTGAAAGTTGACAAGTTTGACACACCTTAAAAGGCACAATTCAATGGATTGCACTCATGGGGGAAAAATTATTAAGTGGCAAGTTTCCTGCTTCAAATGAACAGAAGAGCCTAACAAACGTATCTAAACGGTTATTTCTCCAGCCACAATCTCTGAAATGGAATTATTCATTTATTCAGAGATCCAATCATATTACTGCCAGATAAGAACACAGCCTCCAAATACTTAAGTGAGCCAGATTTAGGAAGTTTGGGTATATAAACTTAAGGGAATTACGCAGGTGCACCGTTTGTTGTTATTGTAGAACATGCAGATTCATCTATGAACATCATCCATTTGACACATAATTAACACATCCCCTTTCATTCTCACCACTTCTTTCTCCTTTCAAAAGCTTAACTTCCAAACAGTTGTTTACTTCCATTAAGCCTCCTAGTACATAGTCCTTGACTTATGATCGCAATTGGGACCAGAATTTCTAGTTGCCAAGAACCCAAATTTTGATCACATGACCAATGTGGATGTTGTGACAGTTGTAAGTGCAAGGACTGGTCATAACTCATGGTTTTCAAACAGTGACTAAACGAATGGTTGGAAGTCAAGGTCTACTTGTATAGAGCAAGGCATTAAATAGATAAAAAGAGGGGGAATTAAGTGCCCTTAATATGGAACACAAACTAGAATTCATTTATTTATACCGACTTTTCGAAAGAACTAATAGTTTTTGTTGTACCAAATACTTGGAACACAATTAGTGTCAATTCTCCTTCTGTAATTTTGTTTTGAAAAGATCACTACAATTAGTTCCAAAGTCAACAACATAGCAGTACAAAATTTCATTAAAAATGCATTAGCTGCAATTAAAGTGCCTGTTTTGTCTTTGGCTGGACCTTAGATGTGAAGCATTCTAATTTCCTATTACATATAGAATGTCTATAATTCTATAATTAGCTGCAGAATCTTACAGAGTTCTTAAAGCTGGACTAATTAAGCAGTTGCAACAGAAAAATATTGAAACTCTACAGAAGAAACATGAAAATTTCTGTCCAGCATCTCTTATTTTCTCCAATAAGAACATTATGAAAGGATTGACTTACAACAGTGAAAGATAAACTTTTATATCAATAGTGCTTTACTACTTACAATAGCATATTCATCATTTACCAAGGTGAAGGAAACTGAAGTTATCCATTATTCTCAAGGAAAAAATGTTTATATATAGCAGATAAACCAAAAATGATTTTTGAAGTCTTACTAGATGTTGCAGAAAACTCACCTACCAGCTAAGAATAAAGCACTAATCCATGAAGGCTTTTCCTAGCGTCCACATTAATAGTTTTCTTTCATGCTTATTTATAAGAGTCAATGAATGGTAACATCTATATGGGACGGCCATTTTCTCACCTGTTAAAAATTTAGCTCGTGGTCAAGTAATTTATTTTTCTTTAGATTTATTTCTATAATATGCAGTCATGCAGGAGACTTGAAATTCGGAACAGGTGGCATTTTTAATCAAGTGGCATATTTATTTAGCATATGGCAATGTTACATTAGCCAGGAGGCTACAGTGCTATTACAAGGTAGTTGTTTGGCTGCCAATTGCCAGTCTGTTCTGTTCAAGCACTATCCAGAGTACACCACAGGAGTCAGACTAGCTATATAATCACTTCAGCTAGATAGCTACATTGCAAAAGTATACAAAACATTATGAATTTAAACTTCTTCAAAAGTGAAACATCTCATTTTAAGTTTAAAATAGCGACTTCACACTTGAAATGAGTTGTTTCAACATTACAGGAACTATTCTTGATGGTGTTCTACTCCAAAAGCGTTCCAAACTAAAAGCCACCATTCTGGTCTCAATTGGTGTCAAGCTTGAAATATTTCCAGTAGTGTATGACAGAAACAATATCAGAATAAATCTTGTGAAGAGACTATTGTGAATTTGAAATATTTTGTATAATTATGTAGTACTATCTCTAATCCAGCATGGGGTAGTTTTATTCTTCAGTATTGTAGCATTTTGTGCAATTGAATACAGTAAATAAAACAGTAACTTACCTTATTCACAAGGCATATTTACTACCAAAAATTCAATCCCCCACTCCACCCCAATATCTGAACTTTCAAACAATCTGAAGGTTAAAGGTTTTCAGGAGTATATTTATATACACATTTTAAATACATGTTTGTGTACAAACCTGTACAAAATGTCAGTTTTGTTAAATCAAATCATGCCATTCAAAATATACCGTATTTAAATATATTACTGTATTTGTAAGTCATTACTGTCAATGTAACACAGAATTACATAGTAAATTCTGTGCTAATAAAGAACAGAATCACGCCAGCACTCACCAGTTAACACTTCTAGAAATAGAAGCCTGACAATATTATCTAGTATACAACACTTCGCTGAATGTAAAATATAAAGTGAACAGTGAGGTAATTCGGTTACCTTGCTTCTGTTATTACAATCTAACACTGTCATATGGAAATTTTCTCCACATGCACATTCTATGCAGCTGAAGGAATAAGGTAGTCATTCCATCTTGTTTTGTTGCACTTGTAATATTTATCAGTTTAGCTACAACATATTTTCAGCACTTAAAGTGATTAAACTACAAATTCATGGTTTGCAGAACCTCTGTGCTTCAGCAGCAAAGAATAGAGCCAAAAGGAAATTACAGCATACATCAAAAGGAACTGCAAAGTAACTATTGTCCAGAACAATCCGTGAATGTGGTCACCATGTTTCCTCGGCGCTGTGTCACAGTTCTGCAGTGTTTACTAGAGCCATGGAATTTGTTTCCAGTCTGCACTGTTTGCCGCTGTGTGTTATCAAACCCATTAAATGAAAACATCTTTTCCATATCTTCAAACATGTCATCAAACAGTCCCCCTCCAAATTTAAATTCTGGAAAAGCATGTCTTTGTCTGCTCTCAGCCTCCTGTTGACTATGAAAATGATTTTCAAAATCTTTCTTTGCATTGGAGTTTTCACCAAAGAAATCAAAGTCTTTAAGGAAGCGATCAAAGTCAAAGTTAAATGAGTGCTGAAAGGGGTTTCCATTCATCCGTCGTCCATCTGTATTTCCAAACTGGTCATATTCTCTACGTTTATTTTCATCAGATAAAACTTCATATGCTGTAAAATAAATCAAGAAGTTGTTTAAAATCATGTAAAGACATACATGACAGGTCTTTACATACATAATGGTGGGTTGGTTAATTCAACTTTAAAAATTCTCAGGTAAAAGAGGCAGAGCTAAGAATTTGAAAGAATAGATCAACCTTTCTCAACTGGAAATATGTGACAGATCATGATTGAAATTTCTTTTTAGCTTCTTTTGCTGTGGAATGCTAGCCCTTGCTTGCAGTGGTGGGAATTATGTGCTGAAACTTAGCTGCCCATCTTCTATGAACTATAATCTTCTTATGCAGGGGTTTTCTGAGATCTTGAGGCTTTATTTCCAGGGTTCCTCCAGGGTAAAACAAGAATGAGAAAGGGTGGACTGGAAAGTTGCTATACTGTATGCTCATCAATAATATTAGAATGATCAAAGAGCCAGAATCACATCAATTGGTCTACCTTTTCAGTAATTTCTATTGGCTAGCAAGGGTTCTCCATATATTACAGAATATACTTTTTCTGTACTACTTGCAGAATTTTTCAATAAAATAAAACTGGAATGGCTAAACCCTTCTTGTAACCTTAGTGGTTAAGGTATTAGGAGTGGTGGCAGCTAGGTTCAAACACAAGTTTAGCTTACTCTGTCATATTCTCCAAATCCAATCTACTTCAGAGGATTGTTGCTGAGGCAAAATAGGCCTTGTACTGCATTTGTGCCTAAGCAAACAATAAACAATGCTAGTGCTACTCGAGTTTTCAAAATATTCAAAGCTTCTCTAAATATATATATATATATATATATATATATATATATATTTAGAGATATATAATTTATTGCAATGGTTTTTATCTATGGCTATAACAATGTGTGGAAATAGTTATAAAAAGAATATCCACAATAAAAACATATGCAAAGTATATTCCAAAGATAATTAAAGTGATAATGATGGTGTGAAGTACCTTTATTCCTAAAAGAGGAAATTAAGATTTATGTTCATCTATTACTACCTTTGAATAGGAAAAGGATGCAGATCCTGCATAAGTAGCAACACTATCTAAACCAGGGAATTTCTACAAATATAATAGAATATATTTAATCCTATTTTTCTACTCCACAGAAGAAAATGATAGTTAATTTTTAGCAGAACTTAACTTACCTTCTGCAATTTCTCGGAATTTTGCTTCTGCTCCAGGGCTTTTATTTTTGTCTGGATGATATTTCATTGCTAGTTTATGAAATGCTTTTTTAATCTGGCGCTCAGATGCACTTTTCGGAACTCCTAGAATATCATAATAACTCTCCGTGGCCAGTATTATTTCTGTTATCATTAAAATGCAGAGTGCAAATAAGAAAATTGATTGTGTAGTAGCCATTGCTGATTCCTGAAGAAAAAGAAAATATCAGAATGATTCTTCTGTTTTAACTTCTTATCCAGTTATTTCTCTAACATGTGTTGGAAGGAATTCATTCCTGATTCCTTATTTTCTGCTAATATCTTAGACATTACAGAGTTCAAAGGACTGACATATTTTTTTTCACAAATTCAGGTAAGTTTTTTCATCATACTTTTTCCTATAATTTTCCATTCCTACTAAAAACAATTATCTTAAAAGTATTTTCACATAAGAAGTAGAATCAAAGAAATATCATATGACTTCAGCATATTAATGTAGAACCTGTAACACTATTTTGATTATACATACAAAATCAGAGATAGAAAGAGATGATAAAAGTTATAGTCAATCTTCTGGCTCTGTTGTAAGAAGAAATGCTGCTACTCCAATAGAAAAGTGAGATAACTGCTTTTATAATTATCTTTACCTCTTCTCTATATTTACTCTTATGACATTCCAGCAGCATTTTTTCTCTTAAATTAATTAACAGAATTAAATTTGTAAAAGTTTAAAAGGGGAATTCTAGAAATTTTGCTTTTTAGTCATTTCTTTCTAATCTACAAACTAGAAGTTCTCAAATACTGCTATGTTGAGTTTAATTTTTTTTTAAATACTTTTTTCCTCCCAGTATTGTTATAGTTTGCTTTCTTATCCAAATAGAGGAAATATCTTGACTCCCTTATCAAAGCAGCATATTTTTAAATTGCCATAAACTAATCTGAGTTTATGGAATAAAGCAGAACAATGATATAAATCACTGATATAAAAATGAAGCTGTTTTAAACTGTTTTGTTCTTTAGAATTGTCAACATGCTTTGAGGTAAAGACTTACTAATTACAACTTTAATTTGTACACAGGCACATATCTTCATCAATACCTTGCTTATTTACAATACATGCAAATTACTGCATATGCCTGCACATGTCTGTTTTTTTATTCTGTTGCCAGCAGATCTCAGTTGGCAAGATTGAAGCAAACAAGTTGCCTCTTTATCAGTGTTTCCCTCCTCCTTTCTACTAGAGCCCTCTTGAGACAAGGTACTGAACACATAAACTAGAGAAGAACTCTTATAAAGATACCATGGTCTATTGAAACTCTGTTCACACTTTTCTATTGTTAATGTTCTACCATTTAATGTGACTGGATGATGCCAACCTAATAGTAGACAGAACTACTGAACATATAAAACATGATTTAAGACTGTGATTTCTCTGAGTATCTGTGTGATTACTTTACACTGAGTAATAATGAAAGCAGGCAGGGCTGTTTCAGTTAAATATAACATAAAATCTGGTTGGATTTAGAAATATACATTTAGAGCTGGCAAATAATTATGGTCATCATGTCCTTAGGAATGAGTGATAACAGTTCAGTTGTAGGTTGTCTTAATATTCCAATCAGGTGCAATTAAATGTTGAGGTTGCAATGTTTTTTGAGTAATGATTATCATTTCAACAAAGATAGGGTTGGGGATTGTTTTGGGGATGAGAGATAACTTTTTTGGTCATCTATACCCTACAGCAATTCACCGGCATTGACATTATGTCCAGGGGTGGGATCACTGGTCCGGTGATCGCGTGCTTTGCGATCACAACAACGTGATCACAACAAAGAGAGCATTTTCAAAGCAAGAATATTAAAGGTCTGATTTTAAAAAAATTAAAACATACATTGTAAAACCCTACATGTTTCTTCTTTCAAAAGATCAAGCATTCTAATATGATACACTTTACAGAGGAGCTACTATACAGCATCTTTCTATCAAAGGATTCGTGGGGACATATTTATGCATTTTTGTCTGCAATTATTTGTTAGATATGAGGTTCTTAAAATGTTCTAAAACAACCTAATAGGTTGCTTTAGAACATTTAAAGAACCTCATATCTAACAAATAATTGCAGACAAAAGCTTTGTGTCTATGGAGATTCTCAGTCATCCAGATCATAGCTGTCCCAAAGGTGCTTTTTCAAGAGGCAACCGGACTTTCTGGGTTTTCTTTGAAGATGTTTTGTTTCTCATCCAAGAAGCTTCTTCGGCTCTGAAGCAAAACATCTTCAAAGAAAAACCAGAAAGTCCAGTTGCCTCTTGAAAAAGCACCTTTGGGACTAGCTAAAGCTTTGTTACCAAGTCAACAAGAAAAAAAGGATCACAAGGGAAGAGAAAAAACAAGCATATTCAAGAATTTTTTAAAGTTTCAAATCTTAGGAAAGTTAACAAATATAGAATAGTATACATACACATATGGAAATTGGCATCTGCAGAGAGAAGCCAGGGGAGGGTTGAATGATGCAAGCAGTGTTGTAACACATGTCCTACCTCTTTTTCACATCACAACACTGAATACATGCCCCAAAGGGGCAGAGTACAATGCTGTTGCACATCACACTTTATTAACCTAGGCAAAATACACAGCATCTGTTCACTTCCACCAATGGAAGACTAGAATAGTGTAATTCATCTTTAAAGAGTTTAATCAGTGAAAGAATAATGGACCTAGATACCTGTGAGGACTGACAGATCAAGGAAGAATCAGAACATGGAGTTCAATATTTTAAATATAATGCAAAATTCGCAGAATAAACAAACTGAATCACTATTTTGACTGTCTTATCTATAAAACTCAAAATAACAAGAGGTCAAAATTTTTCACTATCAAATAAAGATCATACACCATCATGAAAAGTGTGTTTCATACCATAGTTCAAATTTAAAACAGCATTCTATTTTTTTTAAAGAATATTAGAGTAACTGAAGTTGCAGGAAAGCTTTCTCAGTCTTATTTATAACAGAAAACAAGAACTCACTGGACAGTTTAGTGTAAGCATATCTATAAACTTCCAGAAATCCATATATAATATGGAGCTGGCAGCCAAAGACTATATAGGTGCTATCACTCCAGCCCTCCTAGGTCATAAAGGCTCATACAGAACAGAAAAGTTCAAAGGACAATGTATATACATAATGTAATAGATGAAAATACATGTGGCATGTTATACAAGCTGAAAGACCTTCTGCATTCCAAATCACTGATCTCATTTTTATTACTGGCTCAACCTGTGGCTTAAACAAACTACTGATTAATTACATTTATTTGATGTGATGCATCACATTATATGTGAACTTTTAAAGTAACGTTTTAAAAGAAAGCATTTCCCCCTTACCTTTAACTAGCAGTTAAACCAGTTGGCCATCTTCTGTCCCCATAGACAGAATATGTGGGGAAAGCTTGACTTGAGAGACCAAAACGCTATTTGTATCTTCTCACCAAAAAGAAAAAGAAAAGAAACCGAAACCGAGCCTGAAACACAAGGCATTTTCTGCCAGAGAAAAAGCTAGTTTCGATAGCTTCTCTTGGTCGGGTATGGAGTTTAAGCCTAGAGGTCTCGGTAACACCATTTTTTCCTTTAACCTTCGTGCCTATATATATAGTTTGAATATATGTTCCAAACCCGACCAAGAGAAGCTTATATATACTTAATTATATATAAACTCAGTCGATTAGGTAGGTAGAGATAGATAGATAGATAGATGATAGATAGATAGATAGATAGATAGATAGATAGATAGATAGATAGATAGATAGATAGATAGATAGATGATAGATAGATAGATGATAGATAGATAGATAGATGATAGATAGATAGATAGATAGATGATAGATAGATGATAGATAGATAGATAGATAGATAGATAGATAGATAGATAGATAGATAGATAGATAGATAAGTAGACAGACAGACAGATAGATAAGGAGAGAGAGAGAACTGATGGCTGGAGTTAAGTATGATGGATTTAAGTACATAGGCAGCGGACTCTGAGCACATACAGAGTTCCTTTTCCTCACTCCCTAAGCATTGACGGCGTCTCCCTTCCTCATATATGTATAATGAGAAAGACAAAGAACACAAGAAAAGGTACTGTGTCGTGAAGGCTGCCGAGATGAGCCCAGAGGTGGGAAAACTCGGGTTCAAATCCCTATTTAGCAAGCGGCTCTCCGTTGTTTGGCCCGCTGCGACGGGAGAAAGATGAAGAAGCGGCCAAACCCACCGCTTGCTCCCTGGGACAGAAACCCCAGCAAGCTGCCCTTCCTCCCCCGCCTGCCCTGTCGTTCCCACAACTCACCGGCCTCCGGCCTCGCCCCGCAATCCCTGAATCGAACCCGTCCGGGCTGCCTTATAACCTCGGCGCGCCAAGCAAAGAACGACGGTCCTACACGAAGCGCTTCCCGATTGGGCGCCGGCCGTCACGTGGCCCGCCCGCTTTGGTGCACGTGGAAGGCTGTTGTGGCCTCGCGCAACTGACTGGATCCTCCAACCGAACTAACGCTCGTCCTTTCCTGCTGGAAAGAGAAAGGGGCACAAAATGGAAGGAGGAGGGCCATAAAAATTCCGGAAGCGGAAGTGCAAGAGAGTGGTTCTACCCATCGCAGGAGGCACCGTCAGCGGGGACCGTCTGGGACGGGGAATTGGTGGCCGCCGTGGAGTCTTTGTCATGCCTCGGTACTGTGCGGCCACTTGTTGCAGGAACCGAGCGGGACAAAGCGCCCGAGATCAGCGAAAGCTCAGCTTTTACCCGTGAGTGCCGCGGCCAGGGAGGCTGGAGGGAACTTCTCGCATCCTCGACATAAATACTCACCATGTGGGCATGGAAATAGGTTCCACGAATAAGGTGGAGGGGCATTTTCAATGGTGTTTCCTTGGAAGTAAAGCATCGTAGCAATTGTTGGGGGAAGACACAGCAGTATGTAAAGCGTGTGCTACTTGATAGACATTTGCCAATAAGCAGATTCCTTCAATCATAGCAAATAGTTACTGCCAACATCTACCCATAGCGCCACTAAGGTTATATTTGCTTTTTTTTTTTAATGGCCTATCCCGATCTGATAGCTTTTAAATGCCTTATACTTCTTATACCTAGCATACATATTCAAAACATATACTGAGTTAGCAAACTTCTGGGATATGGGGCAAGAGTATTCAATTGAAGCCTCAACTGAAGGAGGGCAGAACATCTCTAATTCACCCTGTTTCTCATTCCAAATCTCTACAAATTTCCACCCCTAATATTTCATTTGGGAGCTTGATTATGTGCCATCAAATTGGTGCCGACTGGTTAGTAACCATGTAAATTTTCTCCAGGAGAATCTTTCCCCAACCTGGCCTTCAAGACCTTCCAATAGTTTCTCCATTGCCTCTGAATACCTCCATTTTGCTGCTGGTTGTCGTCGTCGTCTTTTTCTTTCCATTTTTTCCAGTTGGAGCCTTTTCCGAAGAGCTCCATATTCATGTATCCAAACTCATTTGTGCCTTGAATGAGAACTCTGGGATCATCCATTTGTTTGTTTTCTTAACTATCCACGATAGTCCCAGCAGTCTTCTCTACAACTAACATTAAAAGGTGTCATTAATGTTTCTTGCTTCTTCAATGATCTAACTTCCTCTTCACAAGGAGAACTATTCCCTGTACAATTATTTATAGGTATAGACATAGGATATGAATATTTTTTTCCCAAGGCTGTCATTGCTGCTCTACAAAATGCTAATGTCCAATTCTAGGCTATTTCAGTTCAGCAGTGTCTTAAATATCAGTGTATACAGGTACAGGTATCCTTGAGTTACAGTCACAATTGAGCCCAAAATTTCTGTTACTAACTGAAACATTTGTTAAGTGAATTATGCCCCACTTTTGTGGTTACAGTTATTAAATTAATCACTGCGGTTTTTAAGTTAGTATCACAGAAGTTGCGTGAATTTGGCTTCCAAATTGACTTTGCTTGTCAGAAGGTTGCAAAAGTAATCTCATGACCCATGGATACTGCAACCGTCATAAATATGAGTCAGTTGCTAAGCGCTTGGGTTTTGATCATGTGACCATGGGGATGCTACAATGGTCATGAGTGTGAAAAATGGTCATAAGTCACTTTTCAGCTATGTTGTAACATTGAACAGTCACTGAATTGTATGAATATACAATTCAAATGAATTGTAAGTTGAGAACTATCTAAAATTGATTCATTTCATCCTTCACTGTGCTGAGATTTCCTGTGATTGTGCTTCTTATATTCTATCTTTTCTATTATGATTTTGTTGTTGTGTATATGTGTGTATGTGTGTGTGTGTATTTTGCATGGCAGCATCCTCATATTATTTGTTTAACGAACTTTTCATTCTGCTTCTTTGTCCCTTCCCTTCCTTTCACAAAATCTTTCAGTTTATATAAAAATCATTTTTCGGTTGGACTAGTATTACTTAGCCTTCCTCCCTTGTTTATTTATCCCTGCTACGAATCATTCATTTGGTTTATTGCATCAGATAATTGTAAGAGATGTTATTGTGCAGGTCTTTCTTTTATCTTGGCAGCCTTATTTGTCTTCTCATTGTCCAAGATCTATTTTGATAGATGTTATTACTGTTTGCTAATGTCACAGACTGAGGATGAACAAACAGAATCTCAGCCAAATTGTGCTTGTGAAGAATTCCTACAAACTTTCTAAAGACATTGGAAGTGTCTAACAGCTACAGTCAGAGAACCATAAGACTTCAAAACTGCATTATGAAATTTGGCATACTTAATTTCCCTGCTCATGCTCTGGTTGTCTATAGATGTTGTCCTTTCTAGTGAAAAGCAAAAATGTTTTGCACTCTGTAAAAAAAACTATGATTTAAAATAGTATAATGTAATATATCCTTTTGTGTTCCACTATATCCAGTATCAGTGTTAGGCTACATAGTGGGAAGACAAAGCTGTTATCACACTTGAATTAGGAGAAGGTGAAGTAAGATGCTTTCAGATACAGCTCACTGTCTGATGTTGTAGAATTTTCACATAAATGATTGGAAGGGTCATAAGTTAGTTTATTGTGTATAGAACAGAAAAATAATCTGTTCAACTTGAATAAATACTCAACTAAGTATTCTTACTTGGAACAGTTTATCTAATGTAGAAGAAATATATTATCACAAAACTAGAAATATTAAAGAGCTATCAGCTCTTACTTGAACTGGAGTCATCCATTGGTGTGGGGGAGAGGGGGGATACAAAAGCCACTTTGCAACCTCACAGGATCCACTTTCTGGATTTCATACGTGTGTGTTTGACACCATACGCCAATCAAAAGGAGTGGAGTTTATGGTAGAATGTTGTTTCCACTTTGAAACAACATTGGATCCAATAGATGCCTCTACTTGGAATACTTTTTCCCAGACTTATTTATGTTAGTTCTGCTTACAATAAGAATGCAAAATAAATTCTAGCAATGCATTTCTTATACAAGAGGCTATTTATGAAAACAGTGTCTTAACCACATAATATGACAGACATGTCTGTTTATGTAACAGGTTTAGCAAGAAGTGGAGCAAGAGAGGATATAGAGTAGTAGTTGCAATGGCTGGCAGTCTGAAAGACTCCTCCCTACCACAATAATTAAGTGCAATAAGCAGTCAGATAATTGTAAATATATTTCTTTATATCAGTGGATAGAAGCTTGTAAGTTACTGTCATAGATTACCGTATTTGCCGGCGTATAAGACGACTGGGCGTATAAGACGACCCCCCAACATTTCCACTCAAAATATAGAGTTTGTTATATACTCGCCGTATAAGACTACCCCCTCTTCCACACACCTTCCACTTTTGCACTTTTTTTTTTTTTTGACGCACTTTTCTGCTTTGGACAATTTTGAAATGAGCTAATCCAATTTTGAACCAAGAATATGCAAATAGCTATGGAATTTAGAAATGAGTTTTAAAAATATTTTTCATTGCTTACCATTAAGCGTAAAATATGTTGTAAATAAAATGAGAACACAGGAAACGTTCTCTTCTCAATACAGCTGATCTCTCTCTCTCTCTCTCTCTCTCTCTCACACACACACACACACACACACACACCAAAAACCCGGACACTGAAAAGGCTGCCAAGGAACAGTATATTCAATGCCTTCTCTTTAATCAAGAAACAAGGAATTCCTTAGAATCTTTTTTTTTCCCCAAGTGGCCCTCTTTAAAAAAAAAAATGGAGGTAACACTTTCATTCAAAAAGTCTTCCAGTATCTGGAGTCGCTCAGACATATTGAAGTGAGGCAGGAGAGTAAGTGAAATTTGAAATGATCCAGCTACCGTTTTCTTCCCCTCCCGCCCGAAGGCCATTATCTCCACGTCAAAACGAACGAGGGGAGGCAAAGAAGCCAAACACGCTAAAAAGGATCTCTTTATTTTCCTACACAAGGTCACACCTACTTTTCCGCATTCAAAGGACAACCTCTCCTCACCACCACCACACACACACACACACCCCAATACCCGCAAACAATGTTCTGGGCATTAATCACCATTGCTACATTAACCTGGTAAATTTATACCCTGCCTCCCCCAGTGTTGCTTTGACGGCAAGATTTCACACAGCGGGGCGCTCGCTCGCTCTCTTCTCCGCTCTCCCACCGTTCGCACATGTTGGAAGCACCATAAAACCTGATAACCCACCCGGGGGCTCCCCCATCCTTAACCTACAGCCGCCCGCATGCAAAACCTGCGTGCAAAAAGAAAAAAAGAAAAAGAAAAGTACGCCGCACGTGAGGATCTTCGAATCCTCTCCTCCCCACACCGCTAAGGAAGGAAGAGGGGGAAAGGTTGCGCAGCGCGTGGCGAGTGACACCCGCCACACACACACACACACACACCGCTCCCCCCCCCCAGCCTCCCTCCCGGCTGCAACTCAAGCTCGAAGTGGGAGTCGGAGTCCTCCCGGCGTATAAGACGACCCCCCCACTTGGAGGCATGTTTTTCAGGGCAAAAAAGTCGTCTTATACGCCGGCAAATACGGTATATAATCTTGATTATCTGTATATAAATCAAATAACTAACCAATAACCTATTGGTTTTGTTCAGTAAACAGATGGGGCACATTAATTCATAGCAGTGCCATTGAAATTAATTTCTTGTGGAAAAAAATGAACTAGCTTAGGCAGGTTAATATTAGTTAAGAAAGCTAACAGAGTAGTTTATTATGAGCAAAAAAGTCTTGAACTGTATCATACTTCAGAATAATTGGTGAAGTAAGTTGAAATTGTGATTGGCTTGCTATAATAGCAGTAGCACTTAGACTTTCATACCGCTTTATAGCCCTCTCTAAGCAGATTACAGAGTCAGCATATTTCCCCCAACAGTCTGGGTCCTCATTTTACCCACCTCAGAAGGATGGAAGGCTGAGTCAACCTTGAGCCTGGTGGGATTTGAACAGCTGATAGTCAGCAGAAGTTGCCTGCAGTGCAGTACTAGATATATATGTATAATTTTATAAACAAAGAAAAAGAAGGGAGAGAGGGGGGAGGGCAGGCACTGTACAAGAAATTTCATAAAGTATGTAAATGCAAAGAAAGCAATTGTTTCCAAGGTGTCAAAATAGGCACATCTTTTGCAAGGCTTACACAGCTGCTTTGAAAATTATTCCCAGTGGGCAGTGTCTGCACATGCATCTACAGACAATATTTCTTCTGGGCCTTCTAACATAGTGAAGTGGCCCATGGTCAGTTTTCAGACAATCTGCATGAGCCTTTCAAAAATCACGGCTAATTAAAATTAATTTCACTTTTTCTTAAAAGCAAATAAAAACCAAACATTTCCCTCATTAACATAAATTATACATTAAAGTTTGTTATACCAAATGCAGCATTAATAACAGTAGTCTGATCTAAGGCCTTCTACGTCTTATAAAGTGGGCTACCGGTTTACGTAACAGTGCCGCAGTTCATATTTCCAAAATTCCAACAAGTATGTAATTCTAACAAATATGTAATTTCAGTTGCACTAACAGCATCAAAATCTAAGTAATGCACTGAGTTGACAGTAAATTTCCCCACTATCTGGGTAAGGTCAGTTTAAAATCTACAAAGATTTACTTAATTTAATACTCATACTTTCAAAGGCCCAGTTTAACCAGAAAATTACCCTTTAAATTTTGCATTATTCCCTCCTGAAAAATGGCTGAAAAATATCCCAATCTTTAGTATTAAATGCAGGTATTAACAAGAGCCCTTATTACTTGGCTAAGTGTTCACTGGGTTCAGTTAGTAATTTTTAAGCTGAGCCAAGCAGGAATTGAATTCTGACATTCGTTGTTATGATCAGTAATCATTTATCTCATTGAAATATTGAAAGAAGTCCTGGACCATCTGTTAAAGTATTTTTTCATATGAAAAACTATCAAAATGGATAGTTTATACTTACTGCTTTAAAAAAGCTTTCTAGGAAACTTAAGCTACAATAAGCAATGAAATGAAAACGTAACATTGACCCCCAGAGTCTCTGAAGAAGCTTCTTAGATGAGAAGTGAAATGTCTTCAAAAAAAAAACAACCCCAAGAAAGTCCAATTCTTGAAAAAAAGCACCTTTGGGATTGACCCCCAGTCACTAAATATGTTAAAAATATTGATAAGACCCAATGGCACTTGACTTATTCCAATTTATGAACAACCAGACATGCTATTCTGTCACGTAGTGAAATGAAATGAAATGTTCTTGCATCTGGAATACAGAAGTTTGTTTTCTCTAATACTCTGTAAATTGGAATGAATCAGATTTGATGCCTTTTGAGTTCTAGTAATAATCTCAGTGTTTATAAGTTTGAAATTTTAAGTGATTCTTTTGTTCATCAAAGCATACCTGTTATAGGAATCATTCTCAGTTGGTAGTGGCAGTGGAGCAGCTGTGTGTATTCATACTGACAATGGGGAAAGTCTTCAAACCAAACTCATGAAGCCTTCCAGAGGACATGGCGGTTTTAAGGGCTGCTTTGCTGTGAACCACATGCTTGTCATGTACTCTTTCCCAGGGCTTTACTGCTAAGTGTGACATGCTTTTGAAGAGCCTCAATGCAAGATATCACCTAATTGAAGCATATTCTCATTCATTTCCCTCCTCTCTCCCTCTTCCCTCCCTCTCCCCCTCTTGTATATTCTTTAAAGCAGATTTCCTCTTCATGATAAAGAAAGATTAGAGAAATGGTTACGGAATATGAAACGTGACACTTGGACTCCTAGTAAGCATCAAGTCCTCTGCAGTGACCATTTTACATCAGATTCTCTAGATGTGCGATGGGGTATTCGATATTTGAAGACAACTGCAGTGCCAACTATTTTTTCATCCTCTGAAAACCAGGTAAAATGTTAAGTTGTGCATATGGAAAATAAGACAAAGGATGAGTAAATGCAATTAGTTTGAGTTGTAAGTAAATTGAACAGTGCTAAACCAAAAAAGAAAACAGAACATGCTTGTTTCTGTGGCAATTAGAATATGTCTTCTATTTTAATATTGTCCAGATTCTTAATTCGTTTGTACTTTTTCTGTTTACTATTGAGAAGAAGGATTTATGGCATGCCATTATGATTGTTTGAAGCCTCTGCAGTCTACTCATGCAATTAAATTAGTTTTGTACTGATCAACCATGGGCTTAAAAAAACCCTCCACTATATGTTTATGGAACATACACCATAATATGTATGCTTCATTTCCATTATACAAACAAATTGTATAGTACATTATACAAAACTGAGAGTTTTTTATTAGTTGATCTGAATAGGAGAAAAATCAATAAAATCACCTAATCTTGTTTAAAATGTTGCTATTTTTAGATTCAAAATTTAATTTAAATACTGTTTTCTTTAGAATATATCTAACCATTATGATATGACTACTAAAAAATAGCATATAGCTCACTGAAATGAAAGTTATTTATGTGCTCATCTTAGCACACCAGTAGAGATGGCTAAACAAATTCTTTGTGTGTCCAATCACACTTGGCCAATAAAGAATTCTATTCTAAACAGATGGGCCCTTTGTACATTGGCATCTGGAAAAAATAATTACAATTTCAAATTTGATTGATAATATGTTAACCATGTGCTGAGTTGCTCACTTGATGCTTCATTTCCTATGGTAGAGGGACAGCTTATACAATTCACAAAAGTATCTGATTGGTCGAGGTGCAACTGCCCAGGTCTGTAATGCTTCAAAGAGAAGTTTTTAGTCCAGGCTTCATTGAAGCAAAACACTTCTTTAAAACTGTTTATACTTTTTGCCATCATTTGCATGATGCTTAATGATATGAAAAACAAACAAACCATGCAGCAGAACAGGCAGATTTTGTTGTGACCAGAAAAAAAGCAATTTTGAAAACTTTTCTATCATGCAGCGTTGTTTGCAAAAACTATCTGGATGTCACAGTTAACTGAACCTCTCACCATCATGGTACAAAGTTTAAAGTGTGACACATTCACCTACACTCATACCAACGTTTCAATTCCTCTTGACATTCACAATATCATTTTCAAACATGCTTCTACACAGCATGTTATCTGTAGCCACCACTTAGGAAAGACACATGTTAACATAACTGATAATGATTATTGCATTGCTGTCTTTCTCCCATGAATCTTGGTGTAGGAAAGAGCAACTGTGCTGCTTGTGACTTCTCTATCGTGATAGTATGTGTTAACTGAAAAAATCTCTTTCCCAAGCTAGGGCTGCAATTCTGTATCCACTTTTCTGGACATAAGGACTATTTTTTTTTAACGCGTTGCTCATGTTTTCTCAGAGATCAGATAATACTGAAATACCCTCATCACCCAGGGTCTGCCTATCATAGAAAGCAAATAGGCAAAATGTCCTGCTCTTTGAGAAACTTCTTTGCTTGGAAGTCACACCCCAGGAAAGGGGTCATTAACATGAAGCAGTAATTTGATTAGCTCTGTCAGGAGTGGCCCTTGTCTTTGTGTATTATAACAGTTGTTAATTCTAAAGTGAGCTTTCAAAAATGTTAAAGCTACGTGCCCAAAATTGGAAAGCAAATGAAATTCCAAGTGAAGATGCTATGATTGATAAGATTTTTCAATGCGCCGAAATGGATAGGTTGACACTAGAATTGAAAGAACAAGATAAATCAGAATATCATAAAGTATAGAATAAATTTTATTATTGGAGGGACATGAAAGGGAGTTCACAAAACTGAAATAAGAATCTAAGATGAAATAGAAAACAGGTGAGACTTCTCATACCTGAGGTATAAGAAAAAGAACTAAAAAGATACAAAGCTTAAATGTATATATGTATATATATGTGTGTATATAAATATTTATATCTTTTGATTTTTTTTCTAATGTCAAATGTTTTGACTGAAATGTACGTCAAAGAAGACCACCCTGTTCAATGTTTTTTTAGTGTTTATATTTAATAAAATGTATTTAAAAATATTTTTAAAAAATGTTAAAGCTATGTGAATCCGGGCTACATTTGAGCTAATCTCTTTTGCATTTATTTATTTTTAATTGTAATATGCATTCATAAACCATTTCAATAAAATAATTCAAGATTGGTATCTGATTTCTTTAATAAAGAGAAGAGGCTGTTTATTGGCATTATTTGCACTCTTTCTGAAGACCAGTATTAAAAAGAATAAATACAGGCCGTCCTCCACTTAACAATAGTTTGTTTAGCGTCTAATGGAAGTTACAATGGCATTGAAAAAAGTGACTTATGACCATTTTTCGCACTTAATGATTGTTGCAACATCCCCATGGTCATATGGTCAAAAGTCAGATGTTTGGCAGCTGACTCGTATTTATGCCAGTTACAGTATCTCTGTATCATGTTGTCCCCTTTTGCGACCTTCTCACAAGCAACGTCAATGGGGAAGCCAGTTTCACTTAACAACTGTGTTACTAAGTTAACAACCGCAGTGATCCGCTTAACTATGGGAGGAAGTTTGTAAAATGGGATAAAACTCACTTAACTACTGTCTTGCTTAAGCAACAGAACTTTTGGGCTCAGTTGTGGCTGTAAGTCAAGGACTACCTGTATAGCAGTGGTCCCCAACCTTTTTTGTACCAGGGACCAGTTTCATGCAGAAACACTTTTTCAAGGACCGGGTAGGGGCGTGAAGGTTCCAATAACAGTAAATAAATAAGCGATGAACCCGTAACTTACCCTTTCCAAAAAAAAACTCTCCAGTGAACTCTGTTTCTGGCTCATTTTGCGAGGGCTAGCTTGCATTGCTGATGCAGGATAAATACGCGCCAAAGAGTCTAGCGCAGAAGTTAGGCGAGGGCAGAAGTGGTTGTCTTTCAAAATAAGACACCCGGAAGCAAAAACATATTTTTATATATATTTTAATCACAATTATTCATTCTTTGCGGCCCGGTACAAAATGATCCACGGACCAGTATCGATCCGGGGCCCGGTGGTTGGGGACCCCTGCTGTATAGGACTGAAATCCTGTGTTCTTTTGTTAGGGAATAAGGAATAGGCTCACCATTACACTATCAAGGACCATAAGAGAAGGAATCATTGTGTGATATTTCATAATAACAACTGAATCAAGGCAGATTTTTTTTTCTTTTTAAGGAAAAAGGACTATCCCAGAAGAAAACGCAAGTGGAAAGAATAGAAGGTATCAAAGAAATGAGCACATGCATAACAACATCCTCTCTTAAATCTTGTTCACCGAAGAGAAATATCTTGCCTGAAGGAAGCCTATATGGAAAAACTCTTGGAACAAACCCAGACTGCTCAACAAGAACGGAAGGACTATCACAGAATATTGTGAAAGATGGCACTGCATATTCAGGTAACTGTGCCAAACAGAATAAGCAGCAAGCAAACCAAATAACAACAACATCTGATATGGAAAAAACGGGAGCCATCCGTTCCCATGTTCCAGGAAATAGTAGGACCATCAAAAACATTTTCAACGCTGCCGCTACAGATTTGCAAGTTTCCGTCCGTGACCTCCAGTCATGTTTTGAGCATAGCTCAAATTCTAAAGCCACGGTTTTGCAGGCCACACATCCGGAACGTGGAGATTCCTCTCTGGAATTCACTAAGGCCCCCATACCCATGAGCGAACTTAAATCTGATCAGTTTGATCCTCACATTGCAAATTGCTCAATAGAAGTACAAATGGATGAAAGCTCTGTGTTGCTTCAGTCCATGTCACAAGCTTTGGAACAGCTCAGTGGAAATAAGGAGTCTGTCATCACCATTATCGTTCCTTCCGAGGAGTCAAGAACCCCCTTGTTATTAGAGGGCTCCTTTATATCAGCAGAAGAGGTATTATTAACCCATCTCGAAGCAGAAAACTCTGTTGTCATCGGCAGCTGCAGCAGCCTTGAAGTGCTACAAACTGAGCATTCATACTGTAGGCAAGACACAGACCAGGAACAACTCTGGCAAAAAATTACAAAGCTGCACTCAAAGATAGCCCTTTTAGAAGTCCAGGAGAGAAAAACCCTAAGCAGACTTAAAGCTATAGAAGCACTTATTGCAAAACTGAAGCAAGACAATCTCCTTTCAGAGGAAAAACTTAAGGTCGTAGAAAACTGTTTTACAACGTTTGAAGTTACCATGATACAATAAAAGCTTTAAAAGAAAGGGATGGCAACTTGTTCTGCAAATTATTTTCTGGGGTGTCCTTTTTATTTGTTTGTTTGTCAGTAGAAATGGGATAAGAACAGGTCCATCGCTTTCCTTTCTTTCCTCTACTCTCAATATCTTCCCAAGTTCTTTTATGGAATATTGGGAATTGGGATATCTTGTGGAGCTGCATGGGAGCTAGCATTGGGGGATATGGAAAGGTAGATGAAATTAGTAGTACATACACCATACATAACATCTTAAATGTCAAAAACCTCCACTGAGTCTCAAATCACTTCAAAAAATAGAAAGAAACTATTCTAGAGAAGGTCCATCAATCCAAAGCCATAACAAAAACATCCTGATGTATTAACTGTACAACAGGCTGACTGCTTGAGGGGGGGGGGGGGAACCATAAACCAATTTTAAAACATGTTTATTCTATTGGCAGAGAGGCAGTTTGGTGCAGTGGTTAAGGCATCAGGCCAGAAACTGGGAAACAGTTCTTGTCCCGACTTGGGCATGAAGCCAGCTGGATGTCCTTCGGCCAGTCACTTTTTCATAGCCTTAGGAATGAGGCTTTTGGCAAACCACTTCTGAAAAACCTTGCCAAAAAAACCCTATAGGAACTTGTGACTGAGAATTAGACCCAATTGAACAGAAGTAAAAAACATTTAAGATAAGCCCAAACGATTTTTAGATAAGTGTACGGGAATGCAGCATTGAGGCCTATAACTGTGGGTAAATGAAATGTATTCGTGAAAGCTTAACTCCCACAAGGGCACAGGCAGCTGCAGTGCTTTCACCCTGAGCCATTGCCTTCAAGGGCTACCTCACTTGCCAAGCTAATGTTATTCATGAATAATGCAATTCTAAGCATGCCTAGGAAGTTCCATGGATAGGTATAGGGTTTGTTTTCTAATTTGCTGCCTTAAAAAAGTATCGCCCGTATTTCCTTAGAATTAATGGAACAATGGAAGATGGGCTGTGACAGGACAGAATGCACTCTAATAAAGGAGAACATGTGTAGCTCAGGATTGAAATGGTGCTCTCTTGTGCTTGCTTGCTTTCTTGCAGCCAAAAGGGGTAACATCATCGGAGCTAGTCTAGCACTAACGATGTTACCTAATTTGATAATGAAATGTCTGCAAGAAAACAACCAAGCTCAGAGAGCACCCAAGAACCTCTCGGGAAATAGTTTGGAAAAGTAGATTGGCATTAATGTCCTGATTGTGCTCTTGGAGTCAGAAACAATAATTAAGGATTTAATTTGGCAGGACAAGAGAAGCATTTGAAGCAAAGGGAGTTAAGAGCTGCTGAAGTTGGTGATGGCTGGAGGGAGAAGAAAAACATGATAGGAGTAGGGACATATCTTTCCAACACAGAGACCTGTCCATTCATTCCCACTAAGAGAAGGTTAACTCTAGGGAAAGAGACCAAAATTGGTCAGTCACATTATATCTTTTCTTGTGGTGGGAGGGTACAGTTTATTTTCTCAGACTAATTTTGTCTGTAAAAGCATTCCACTTGGAAAGGAATGTGTTCTAGATGTTTGGATCCAATTCTTGTGAACCGGTTGTTGCTCTTTTCCCCCAAGTACCCAATTGGCAATGAATCGCCATTTTTCATTGCTTACAAGCAGAAACTGGCTAGGCCCAGAACTGGGTGCTGTGCAAAGATATGATACTTCTGCATTTGTTCTTTATATGGTCAGAAAAAAATCAGTGAAATGGCCCTGCTGAAAGTGCTTGGTAATGCCAACTCAGAAGCCCCAGGAATAATGCAAAAGGCTGGGCACCATCACCCAAAGACTCAAATAGGAGAAGCGGCTACCTGAACCCCTTCAGGAAATGTCATGGATTCTACCAACCCCATTCTCTGAAGTTCAGAAATTGGCAGCTTCTTGATTTAGATAACCCTTGTGATTTAGGTGAAGGTCAGCATTTTATATTAAATTTGAAAGGATTTTGAGAGTATCTTTTACCAAAGGACACAAGTAAGTACTTCCGTGCCAGCTAAGAATGCGGGAACTTACTAGAATGCCATCAGCAATTTTGGCAAAATTATCTAAAGAAACCAGATGTACGAGAGGTGGCAAGCTGCTAGGAGTATTATGTCCATACTTAGAGCTTTACCAGCCTTCACCATTGCTCTGTATTTTATATTGCAATAAATTTTCAGGTTTCCAGCTTTAAAGATCATAATGGACATAATAAAGCAAGAGGTCATTTGTGTTTCCCCTGTTCCTCATACTTCTCCATATTGACTGGGTATGCACTACGCTGCACTTAACATTGGCTTGCTTAATTATGATTTATGGATACAACAAACCAAGGCAACAAACAAACTTTTTCATTACAGCTTAATAACTTGTGTGGACCCCAGCACATACTGTATGTATGCACTCCTGCCAGGACTGATTAAAGCACTGCAAGCTTTCTCTTCCTGGTTGGTTGGTTTCATTTGCTGTGAAAATTTCCATAATTAAGGGGAAATTTTGTGTGAAAAATAATTGACTTTTTGAAAGGCTGATGACTGATTAATGAAAGATCTGTATAATCAAATAAAAATTAAAGTATAAATTAGTTTCAGTGAGTTGACAAATTAAAATATAAATTAGTTTCAGTGAGTTGACAAAAAGTATTCACATCTGCTCATCTCTTATTTATGTGCATTTTAAAATATGTTTTGAATGCTTTCTATATGTATCTCTGTAATTGTATGTACTAATTGAACTAGTTGAATGAAATAAAATTGATACCATTGAATGAAATAAAAATGGCTTTATTTATTTATTTATTTATTTTTAAACTTCTCATCTTTCTGTCCTCACACTAGCAATAATACACAACAATAAACATTAACAGAAAATTAAAATAAATCAAAATGAAAATCAGCAGTTAAAGTAACAATGAAAAAATAATTTGGTTTTCTGCAAGACTCAAATAAGTTGGCTCGAGTAAAGCTATTCCAATATTTGTATAAATAAATAAGCAGCTCTATAGGGACTAAAATGTACTGCTTTTTTTCCTAGTCAACAGTTTTGTTTTTGTGCCATGCATATTAATTTGTGTTGCCCTTAGGCTAACATTTAAGAACAAGGAAAACAAGATAAACTTGTGACAATAACATTGCATCAGTTCCAAGCAAGAAAACAAGAAAATGTATGTTCTATAATGAATTTCTGCAAGATACTTCATTTGCTCACAAATTTCTTTTGTAATATCTGTCTTCACACTCAAATATTTTTCTTGGTTCTCTCTTCTGAGTTACATAGTGCATTATTTTATTAATTGTCAAGTTGATAGGAATTCACATTATACAATTCACTGCTTTTTTCTATTTTGGGATACAGTTTCATTTCTAATTGCTAGCAGATGTTGCCAATTTATATATTGTGATTATGACTAAAATCTATTTTAACATACTTGTTGGAAAGAGGTACAATTGGAAAAGTGAATGTGCCATTTGTGAATCTTCTATTTTTAAAATATATATTTTTCAAGAATTTTAGGCTATGTAAGAATGCCCTTTGGTGTAACCAATAAGATATGTTATCTATTATTTCTATAATGAGAGACTGTATATCACAATATACTTCATTCATAGGCAGATAATCAGCCTTGTCTACTTATATTGCAGTTATATTTAACACAATTTATTTAGTTGTTTGATTGGTTTTGTAGGTTTATATGGCTGCCCATCTCAAACACATG